CAAACCCAGCTTTGCCTTATCATAGTACATGAAATTGCCACAACAATCTTACACTGAACCTTGTATGAAATTTGCCTTTGAAATTGGAAGAAATAGCCTTGGTGTTGTAAGTCCTGCTAATTGTGTGCATATGTGCATAAACATACAATATGGAACTGATACATGTTTTGCCACATATTTAATAAGCAGGCTGCAAGCATCTTACCAATATTAATTTCAACAGAGGTTTATTGGGCAGGATCCATCTTCTTCAAAAGGAAGGGACTTTATGCAAAAAGCAGGGCTCCATGCATAGAAGGTCGCTCCACCCCATTTCGGGGGATCCCATTTCCACTACACCAGCACCACAACAGCTGACCCATTCTGCAGGGTCTTCTGACTCATGGGAATCCTAACCCTAACCCTAGCCTATTAAGATTTTTGAAACAATTTCTCCGGTGCTCTGATCAAGTTTGCCTTAATTATGATAATGCATTGCTTTAAGCCACCACTGTAGCAGCTATCTAGAAAGGCACATGGAGAATGCACTAAAATTCACAGAACAGGCAGGCAAGTTCTGGTGCTGCAGCTGCCACCCCAGTAATCACCCCCACAAGCATGTATCTGGCATCAAACACGTTCTGCTGTTGATATGTAGCTGTTATCACAAGCCCCGTCACTACTGGGGCCCTGGGCCAAGCTGGACCGGATTGCTGCCAGCACCAATCCATGTTCTGCTTTCCTCTTTCCTCCCTGCCACTGCTGTTCACCACAGTCCCGCAGTGGGATGGTTGGAGGCTCCCCAGCAGCATCTGATGCGACAAGTGAGACGCCAAGTCTGACATCACCAGCCAGACAGGTCTCTCTGTGCCTCCTCTGCTACTGTTCCAAAGGGAATGAGGCAGCCGTCTTAAATTTTGAAGCAGACACACATGCAAACCTTCTAGAAGGCCATTCCCCGACTTGTATGCATGTGGCCACAACACAGAATTCTTATTTTTTAATTCACTTTAAACCACCATAGCAGTCATGTCCTGGCATTTACTCATAGCTAGCACAAACAGCATCAATCCACGATCAGAAGAAATACAGGCCATTTGTTAAAAAATAACCCTTTATTTACAAACTATGTTTCATGACATAGGATCTGGATTAACTTGGTACATTTTTATTATTATATTGGCTTTAGCTTATGCATAGCCCAATTTATATCCAGGAGCATCATGAAAGTTGCTTGTTTTGAAAATAATCTTGAAGTGTTTCTCTGCCTAGGGCAGGTAGTTTGTTTTGCTCAAGCAAACAGCCAGTGTCTCTGAGTGATTCCCAGGTGAGATCTCTGCACACCTGCACCTGGGAGAGAATCAGCACCAACAGCAGCTTTTGGTGGATCTCTGGAAATGCCAGCCTGTGTGCCCAGCAAGAGAAACATCACAGGGACTCTCCAGGCAAGTATATGGGGCTCACAGCCAAAATGGTCAGCACCAAAGCTGAGCCTTTAAGCAAGAGGCAGGGCTCAGAAGCAGAGATTAAGCCAACAGTCAAACCCAACAAAGACTAGCATTGGCCAAACAAAATCTGAATCTGAACAGAAATCCTTTGTGGCCATTCCCAGTGATGAAAACCTATGACCTGCTTGAGTGAATGACATTAATTTCAGTATCCAGGAAATCTCTCCTGTCTAGGGAAATAGTCCAGGCTTTAAACCTCACTGCACAGGGCAGCAGTGGACAGAGTTGGGCATCTATATTTTTAGCATGGGCAGCTCCTGGCACATGGTTATTTTCTCCCTCGAAAGTCTGCCATGCAGTTCTGATGTTTTCTTAAACTGCATTGCCAACAGTGGTTTTATTAGTTGGTAGATTGGCTTGTTATTAGTATAGACTCTTAAGGCTCAAGATTATCAGCAGAGCATAGAAACAGACCAAGCTTATTTGCCAATATAGCTGTGCACTCTTTGCTGGCTCTCCAGAGTCTCAGGAAAAACGGGAAAGGATAATCATAAAGCAGCAATGAATATGTTTTCTGTTAGGTACGTCTTCACTGCAGGGCCAAGCCATTTTATTTAGTATTTCTTTAAAAATGTATACACCATTCTCCCAGTGCATTGCTCTCAGAACAGTTTACATATTTTAATAATCATGACTTCTAAAGGAACTAAGTACCTGTTGGACTACAGGTATTTTGCACTGTGGTGCTCACCACCCCAGCTAGCACAGCTAAGAATGGTTATGGGAATTATAGTTAAAAACTTCTGGGATGTACCGGATTGCTATCCAGGCCAGAAGAAACTTCAAGATTTGTAGGTCTTCAGGGGAAATGAGGGTCTTATCTTCTCTGGCAACTTCAGAACACTAGAATTGCAAAGCCTCTTCAGGAAGAGTTAACCCAATTAGAAATGTTTATTTGTAATTTAAATAGATTGCTGGGGCATGCTGGGAGTTGCAGGCCTTTTTCTGTCTAATTATGCATAGGATGGTGCCCGAATTGTCAGAATGATGGATTCTGCTGATGGTATTGCTCTCTTACCTTGGCCTCCTCAGTCTTGCAATCCTGCCATGATGGCATCTCCTCATGGGCTCTGATGTCACAGTGCACCTGTATGACTCTTCCAACTCAGTGGCTGGCCCACCTGCCTCTATACTTTCCAACCCTAGAGTGACAGCAGAGGGTTTTGACGGAGGACCAAGGAATTTTGGACCCTCTGGTTACCATGCCACAGATGAGGAGTCAGAGGGTTACTGCAGGATCTGGGAAATAAGAAAACACTAGGATCCAAATTGTGAGGCCAATGAGCACCCTACATGAAATTATAACCCTCTTATCTATGGCAATAGGTACAAAATCTGCTTAATAGTAAGGAATTCAGACTGTTTATCTTTAGCGGACTTCAGCTGGCAGCCATTCTCCAAGGTCTTCCTTGGGCAGAAACTTTCCCCAGAAATGACACCTTGCAGGTACAGAATGAACTGGTTTGCACATTCAAAACTGACCACCATGGGTTGTTTAAGCCATGATAGCTGAGGTCAACATCAGCTGCTATTTTATATATTCATGGGTTATGCCAGGCTAAACAATGCATCTTTTCTTATAGGGTAACGTGAGGGTTCAAATACAATGCTAACCCCCAGTCAGAGTTTGACTATGCAAGTGTAATGTAGTGGTAAAGAGCTGGGACTAGGACTCGGGCGGTCTGAGTCCTGCTTCCCACTCAGCCATGGCACCAACTGGATGATTTTGCACCAGTCAGACTCTCAGCCCAACCTACCTCACAGGGTTGTTGTTGTGGGGATAGGATAGAGAGCAGGGGAAATTAGGTAAGCCTCTTTGAATTCTCTGCAAGAAAAAAAAGGCAGGACATAAGTCTAATAAATAAAATTCTGGCTGGCATACAGCAACACATCTCACAGCTCACCATGGTTTAAATAACCCACAGTGTGCTCCTTGATCACACAAAGCAGCCGAATGACAAAAAGTTTGAGGAACCTCTTACTAGAAAAGGCCAGGTGCATCTTGCCTTTTTCTTATAAAACAGGATCATAAATGGCAACCGTAGTAACCTCTGTAAATTGCAACATGGTTTACAATCCTTACCCTCATCTCCGCAATGACCTTATTGGGTAAATCATTATTCAGTACATTCCTTGGCCATCTTTTTCCCAAAACTCAGAGAGGAAAAATATTTGAAATCAAAACAGAATAACGAACTATAAAAGCACACACACAACAGAAAAATAGCGAGAGAGAAACTCATATTATCGTTTGTATTTGGTCAGCCAAATCCTCTGTAGAAAATCCTAGTTGTACATAACTTTCACTTCTCTTTACCATTTCCCTGTGTACTAATTTTCCATGAGCAGCTCCTGTGTCTAAAAATAGATGCAAGTATTATTCTATGAAGGAAGATACAATGGATTGAATCCAGGCTAAAGGCACAATCCTGGCTTGTAAGACTCTTTTTCTTTCTAAACATGCACAGGATTGCATCCTAAGCCAAACATTGCTATTCTCGTCCCTCAAGGTCTAATTTAGCCTGGATGCAAGCAATTATTAATGAACTGCTTTCTCTAGTATATTGCAAGTCCTTGTTCAAATGTCTTACCTCAAAGATTGCTTTCTTTGCAAAACAATATATCTTCACTTCTATTTAGACAGCTATGCAGTAATGCATAACGGTGCTCTTGAATCTGGCCTGAGAAGGGCTGCCTTTCCAGCAGCATTATGGAATGCATTTCAAGGTACCCAGCAAGGTGGTTCCCACTGTGCCTCCCGCCCCAAGCATTTCCCCCATCTTCCATCCCATCCACTCCACCCACCTGCATGGACCAACAAGAAAAAAGAAGAGAGTCCTCCTGGCTGCATCAGGTGATGGGAGGGAGTTGGGCAGGAGGACTGGCAAGGGAACTGAAGACGAAGCACAATCCTTGTGCAATGCCTCAGAGACATTTAAAGACATTGGTACCCTCTGTGGTTCAGATTCTGGCAGCTTGGGCAATGAGAACTAAGTGTGTGGCACTGACCAACTTATCATTTTGTGCACATTCCTGATATTGAAGCAGACTGGTCAGGAGAACTGACTCTGTATTAAGTCCATTAAGCACCAGGAATTCACAATTTGCCGCCTGACTTCCTCAGTGAACAGCAATGTTGCCATCTCAAGACAAGTGATAACTTGCTGCAGCCACAGGGAGTGAGCTAGGAAATGGAAAAAGAAGCACCAGCCCTTGGCCTTATCACGCCAGTAGGTTTACAGACAACACATACATTGCAACATCATTGTTAGAAATAGCAACACTTGCAGCAACCTGACTGTTGATCCTAAAATAATGGGTTGTGCTCTGTGAGTGGCCAACCACCAGGCAAGAGGCCTCGGGCACAGAAGATGGATTTGGCAGGATAGGCTGGACAGAACTAGATGTCCATTCACAGTCCAGATGCACTTTTAGTAACCATCCACAGACAACTTCTTTCCAGAGCAATGAGACCACAGAGCTGATGTGATGTTTTTTGTAGGTTTGTAGGGGTTTCCACAACAATTCTCCATTCAACGAGCAAAGGATCCTGCATGGGACCTACCACTGTCCTTTCAGAGAAGTCTCCCAAGAAACCCTGTTCACATAAATGTGAGTATCATGTACATTCAGTCACTTTTCCTGAGTGCATGTGTGTTTTACCCGTCTTCTTCAATAACAAGTGCTGTAGGTGAGATAGTGAAAAAGGACAACATTAGTATGCTTAGTCATTGTGTTTTTAGCTTTGGTGTTGAATCAATGTAACTGATGAAATCTTAATTGATTATGATGTATTTTAATCTGTTTTGGTAAACTGCATTGTGATCTCTTTTGATACGGTAACTGGCGTATACACTGATTCAATAAATTTAAAAAGTTAATTGGAAGTAAAGCCTATAGAGGAGGAGGAAGAGCATGTATTGCAGAAAGTGACTACCCTTCATAGGACTGGAAGAAATATGCTGTGAATGTAGAAGAAATGCCATCTTAGCATCTATCTAATTAGCTAGCTGTGTCCTTTACATGCCTTCTTAGTAAGCCCTACTGGGTTCAATGAAATTTACTTCCAGTTAAGTGGGTGTAAGATTGTGGCCTAAATGCCCTCTTAGAATGGTACAGAATGCCTATCATAAGAGTTTAACTGGAACCAAAGGAGATGATCAGGAGCTGTAGCACAACATGTCGCTCCATCATGCTTTGGACTGGGACGACAGCACTGTCCAACAGTGCTGGCAGCAGTTTTGGGTAGGCATGCAGATAACTGCACTGCTGGCTTCCCATCTCCCATAAAAGTGAACAAGGGACTATTTGCAGCTGCCCTGAAAAAGGCAGATTCCAGCTTGTTCATGATTGGAAAAGGAATTGAAAATAAAGCTGCCAATATCATATTGCCCTTACACAAATCTATGGTACAATCATGCTTGGAATACCATCTACATTTCTGGTCACCACACCTAAGAAAATATATTGTAGAGTTAAGATGCCCCCAAAAGGCATCAAAATGGTCAAGGAAACCTCTTTCCAAAGAGAAAACATCTGGGATTCTTTAGTTTAGAAAGCAGAGTCTGGAACTATTTAACTTAAAGTGGGCACATGCAGACATGATAGAGGTGTAACAAAATGAACTATGGTGTAGAGAACCTGGACAGGGAGACTTTTTCTCCCTCTGACGACCTCCAGGAACTTGAAGCCATCTCATGAAGCAACATGGTGGGAGAAGGACCATAACATGGTGTATAGTTAAACAATGGATAGAGCAATGGCAATAAACTTGTGTGGCTTTAAAGGACTATCAGTGGCTACTAGTCATTATGGCATTATGTTACTCTAGTCTCAGGGCAGCATGCCTCTACATATCAGTTGCTGGGGATCATAATCAGGAAGAGACTATTGTAGATGGTCTACTTGTGGGTTTCCCACAGCAGGTTGCTCGGCCACTGTGTGAGCAGAAAGCAAAACTTGATCAGCCTTTGGTTAGATCCAGCATGGCTCTCTTTGTATCCTTACATTAAGCACACAGGAAAAGGTGAAGAATTTCAAGCAAGGAGATTACTGTGAGAAGAAGAGGGTGGAGTGAATATATCTAACACCAGGAGAAAGTGTCAGGCAGCTCTATATACTTTAAATCAGTATGGATGATTGTGCATTAATAATAATAGCAACAACTGCAACACTTCTTAGTCACCTTCCCACCAAGCTAAGCTCTCAAAGCAACTTGCAACATAATGCTAAAAAATCTATAGATGAAAACACTTTAAAATGAAAGGGCTGTAAACTCATTTTCGGCAATGAAAACAGTTTCTGTACTGAGCATGTGCTCAGATATACTCAGACTGAAATGTCTATCTGTACCCATAAAATATTTGACACCTTGTTCTGGTCGCTGGACCTCAGAGTTTGAGGAGGAAAATAAAGTAGATCCTGGAATCCTCAGACCTACCACATTCATTCATTCATTTTTTTATATCCTGCTCTTTTTGCAAGGAACCCAGGGTAGCTTGCATAATTGTTCTCCATTTTGTCATCACAGCAACCCTGTGAGGTAGGTTAGGCTGAGAATCTGGAACTAACCCAAAATTATCCAGCTAGCTTCATGGCCAAATAGGATCTCCCAAATTCCTATCCAGCCCTCTAACCATCATGACACACTAGCTCCTAAATGTCAGTTTAACAATCCAATCATTACACCTGTAGGGCCACAGTAGGCCAAGAATGCCCTTGGCATTCTGGGAAATGTTTCGTGATTCTTATACGTAAGGGCCAGCATGGGAAGAAACATAACTTTATGGGCATAGATCGAAGCACATGGAGAGCTTTGCTGTCAGTTCTGTCTCTCCCTTGTCTTGCTGTCTTCCAAGATTAGCACAATTATGCCTGAAGGCAGATGGATGGAAGGAAAAAGAACAGCCTTTTGTGGTTGTCCATTTTGGGAGTGGTAGACACTAGGTTTGTTTAACTCTCAGTGGTGGCAGCTAATACTAGTGGGCCCTGCTGCACCCAATTTTGTATCCTCAGATGGGGTTGCCCGAGCCTGCCACCTCACTACACCCCTGTGAAAAGCTTTCGTATACCATAGAGACTGTATGTGCAGGTAGTGGTGCTATCAGAGTAGGATTTTTGGGCAGACAAGGTTCCTCAAATATAGTAAAACTAGCCTACCCCTTCTGAAGTAAGTGAAGAAATGGGCATTCCCATTTAAAGCTGGGTGAGCAACTTATGGTCTTCCAGATGTTTTGGCCTATGACTCCCACCAGTCCTCATCATTGATTACGCTGGCTAGAACTGATAGCAGGTATAGGCTAAAACAGCTCTGCCCAGCTCTTGTAAACTCAAGACTGACATTAGTCTTACTTTTCTTCTGCCTTTGAATTTCTCTAGCAAGATTGCCTTCTCCAGTGAGTTTTGACTTCTCATGATATGTCAGAAGCATCACACCCAACCCTGATCAAGGATTTGTGTGTAAAGATTATTACATTCAGAAACTAAAATTATAAGCTAAGTCCACCAATGTGTGTGGATAAATGAATTTTAGGGAAACTAAACTCTCTCAAGCCTTGACCCCACAAAAGAGTTAACCCTATGACTCATAAAGCACAGTAATTTGCATGTTACCGTGGGATCATTTGCATGACTCTTCTACAGTAACTATACCCTCTTTGAGGCCATACTACCAGTTCCTGAGGACAGGACCACTCTGGAGTGCAGGCTGCCTATTCCTGGGGTAAATACTTGTGCGTGAGATGCAACTTTCTTAGCAATGAAATGCTAATCATAAAAATTGGGCGCCTGTTTTCCATGCCATATTCCCAGCTGCTCCTAAGCACCATCCTCAACCTTACCCACACAACTTTCTCACAGGAATAAATATTACTTTGAGTCAGTATATTTGCTGAGTTAATCATGTGTGGAGCTGTGGTTGCTTCTGTGCTGGACCTGGGAAGCCCTGCCCATAAATCTTCCATCTCTGCACTGGTTCCCTACCTAGCATCTAACCTAGCCTAAATCACATTTGGAGGGCACCAGGCTGAGCTAAATAGTGCTGGGTGCCATATCTAAGTGAGACTGTATGCTTATGCCTTTGTTTCAAACATCTCCTGTTCCTTAACAGAGCTGCACAGTATTTGCATTCTGAGGAAATATGGTCACTAAGCCCTTCTCCCTCTCATTAAGATTTGACAGATCACTTAACGCTAGTGAACTCTTAACCCTTTATTTAGCAGACAATATAAGGGGCTGATTACAAGTTACATTCACAATATTTACTTACCACATTTCTATACTGCCCAGTAGCTGAAATTCTCTGAACACTCACAGACCAGAGGTTAAGACCATAAAAGATAACAGAATAATGCATGATGTGAAAGTTAAACCATTATAGAATAAAATCAAGTTATCAAAGCAACAGCAGGGACAGCAAGTATTAACGGCACTAAGTTTAACCCTATAAAAGGGCCTACAATGCCAGCATCACTCCACCCAGCTCTGCTCCTGCAGCATGCTGAGAGTTTGGGAGAAGCCTTGGTGGGACTTTATTCTGCAAGTGGGACATCACCACTGAAAAGGCTGACATCATATTAGCCACCCACCTTCCCTTATTTGGTGGGGAAATCCAGAGAAAGGACCCTAAAGATTATCTGAGGGCTCAGGGAGGTCTCTGGGGGAGTAGACCTGTAAACTGAACCTTGTTCATGCCTTTAAGAAAAGACACAGGAGTTGCAGGACAGGAAATGCAGAGTGAACATGTGCAAAAAGAGAAAGGGGCACCTGTGGACATAGGATACTGCATTACATAGCAAGAGTCTGTCCTTTAGTCTTTTAGCTTGGGTTCACACCATCAGGCGAATTTCAAAACCCCTCTGCATGTGGTATGTTCAGACTTTGACAATCTGTTCCACAAGTGCCCCCCCCACCTTTTTTGAGGGGGGGATGTGTGAGGTCTCAGCTACTTGTGTTTATTTCCATGCAAACCCCAAGACTGCATTTTTCTCTTGTGGACATTCTAATTTATTGCTATTAACTGGACCCATCTGTGTTGTGGCAACCCACAATGGCTGAGTCCAATGAGAAAGACCTAGGTCTGATCCCACACACAGACATCCAGCTCACCAGTCACGCACATCCCTAGCCACTGGCCATACTGGTAAGGCCTGAAAAGGATCGCAGTCCATTCTTGCCTTAGAGGAAGAGTAAGATAGTAACAGGAGCAATGAAAAACTGGCTTGCAAGCCTGATTCCAGAGAAAAATCCCACTGATCTGCGGGTGCCCAGGCTTGCAGCAGCTTTATTTTGCCGCAGGATGGTAATTCATGTAAACATTAACCTACTCTTGTGCTCCATACTTTTCAAAGCATCCTTCTGTACGACTCCCTGGTCATTTGCACGCCCACACACACGCACCTCCTTACAGGACACCAGGTTCAGCCGGTAGTTTTTCTGGAGCCTCAGCCTGCTATTTTCTCAAAAGCTGGTTTCTGGCCAATCTCCCCACTACCACCACCCTATTCTGGTACTTGTTTCAGAAGCGCAGGTAGACAACAGGAGCAGGGTTGGTTTAGCAGCGGTATCTCAGGTGACAGCAGCTGAGAGCGCTCGCTTACGGAGAGGGAAGAAAGTACAGTGTTTACAGGGGAGTGTTCTTCACAGGCTATTGGCAGACACCTGCTCTCCACTCTCTTCCTGCCTTGCTTCCTGAAAAGAGCGCTTCTGTTGCGACCCTGCTTTGGACAATCACAGGAAGGATGAAAACTCCACGCTGTGGCTACATTCTTCTGGTAAGTACTGCAGAGAATATTTCTTAGGGTTGAAATCATGAAGAGTAAAATGCTCAGCTAATCCTGCTGCGGTAGCTCTCCCTTTCATCATCTGTCTCTCTCAAACCATCAGGCATCATGCAGCAAAGGGTGGAGTTGCCACTTATTGCCACCGTGTACAGAGGTTGACAGGCCTGAAATGTATAAATCCTGATGGAAAAAGGAAATGCCCAAGAGGCAACTTCAAATCTGGGCAAGCCAGAAATGTGAGAAGGCAGCCCAAACTTAACATGATGATCTAGGTTAAAACCACCATGACAAAGGCTGGCACAAACCAACTCTGAAGTGGAAGCTGTGATTCAGGAGTACAGTTTGGCCTTGTTCCCAAAAGCAATTACCAATGAAATGATCGACCATCACCCTGTGAATGGATGCACCTTTGCAGCATGACTTGTGGCTTGGCACAGGACAGGCTGCCATATATTAAGGCAAGCTAAGCTGACTCATCACATACGAGTCCATGCGTGCTGATGCACCCCCCCCCCATTGCTCTCCTGCCATACATACGGTGCAAAGAGGTGGCTAGAACCTTGATACAGCAGTGGTGCAATGAAAGAGCAGAGCCCCAAGCTGAACCTCATCACTGTCTCCGGCGTGAATTTTTGCATCATGGCAAATATCGAACATTGGCAGGGGGATTCCAACTTCTGTGAATGCCACCCCCTTCTCAGCTCCTACCCCTGGTACCCTTAGCCTGATCAGCCTATATGCCATATGTCCTCTGTACAAATGCAGAATTTGCTACTTGGACTGGTGGCTTTGCTGACCACCCCCTGCTGTGCCCCTCCTCTCTGCTAGCTCTCATCAGGGGGACAGAGTGCAAAGATCCCCCTTCAGGGGGCTACAGGGATGCACCACAACAGGGTCCAAGCTAATGCTGCTTGTGGGCATTGCTAAATCAAATGAAGAACCACTCCAACTCATGCAAGAACAAGACCATGACCTAGCCCCCCATTAGGCAAACTGTTAAACGTTAGCCCTCCAGATCCAGAGCGTAATTCATTTCTCACTTCCATGCATTCCATCACCTCTGAGTACTCATAACACTCCTATCGTACCTCCATGTGCTCCAACTTTTTGAATACCCCAAGCGCTTGTAATACCCCTGCCCTTGTAATTCAGCCCTCACAATCTGAGATCCCTCCACCTTGCTCTCTGCTTGCCTCTCCCTCTCAGGATATTCATTTACCCTGCACTAGCCCTTCCCAAATCAACTCTGAAGCATTAGCAAGCTGATCAATTAGTTTACTTCAAATAGCAACAACAAAATGACTAGGATGAATCTCACAGTGGATCTACTTGTACTTACTGTTGTAGAATAACTGCAAACTCAAACATATTCAGCATCAATTACTATGTGTGTAACTATTACCATCTAAAGAAACATTCACAGCAGGAATGCAAGACATTAGGTTGGTCTTTAAATCAATGCGTATTCGCATTTACATGGATGTGCCTTACTACTGGGGTACATTCAACTTAAATATCTAAGTTCAACAAACTCTGAAAAGGCAGCTGCAATCTAAAGAGTCTGGGATACCTATGGGCACATATTTCAAAGGTATCCCAATGTAAAAGACAGGGAAAATAGGGGCATTTTTGTCAGGAACAGCTAACAGAAAATTGGGGTCTGTGCTTGATCATCACCTGCAGTTCAGAATATGTGAGGAATCACCTCCTCTCAGACCAGCCTGCCCACTTCCAAGTTAAGATGGAGAGGTTCTTTTCCATGTCACACCTAGAGTCAAGCCATGGTTGATAGTAACAAGAAATAAGTCTTTCTTAATGCTTGCACTGCTACTGTGAAACACCTGACCCTGTGAGGTGCAGATGGTCCCTTCTGGAAATCCTCTGTTGGTTAATGAAGGCATCTCTATTTCAGCAAGCTGCTATGTGTTAGCTTTCCTTAAAGTCTATTTTAAAGACTCTGCTTCTATAGTATCTGCCTCTGCAGTTTTATGTTGCATTGTAATTTCAGACTGTTGTGAACTGCAAATAATGAGTCTCTTACCATGTCATAGTAAGTTTAGAAGACCCACGACTTAGGAAGCTAGGCAAGCTCGTTCCCCCTCTTAAATAAGACAAAACAGCAACAGGAAACTGAAGGCTGTGCTTGGATCAAAGTCTAGTGCCACCTAACGACTAAACTATATAACGACACAATCTCTCTATGTACTTTCCATTCCTGTCCACTTTGCTGCAATGGAAAGCATTTCTAAGAAACTAAAAACCTAATAGTGCTTGACAGGAAAAATCCGTGAAGAGCGTGCTAAATTGGATCTCCTCCCGATACAGATCTCACAAAAGTACAAGTGCAGTCCTGCTCAAATTCTCACTAAAGAGACTCCACAAAGGTCATTCAGAGATTGGCATAATTTAATCTGAGGATACAAATTGGGGATTAGTGGTTGCAAAATTCCAGTCTCCTTGTAGAAAATTCCTCCACACTTGTCATCAAGAGGTGCAAGAGAGTGGAGGAAACTGCAACCAACCTCATGCAACAGTATCGGGAGTTGCTGTGTCACAATGAACCTTTGCACATGGGTTCGAAGTGCCTCCTGGTCATGCAACGGGCTGGCAGGAAGTGGCACCCCAGAGGATTTTGCAGTACCTCAACCAGCCGGTAGGTGCCCACCCCAGGACACATCTAAAGAACCAGTCCCAGGCAGGATGATTTCATACTCTTTGTACCAAAGATATAATTAGCCAGGAAGCTAATTTGCCAAACAATGACTTCTTCAGATTCTGAAGCTGAGAAGCTTTATCACCATCAGTGTAGCTGAGCAATATACCTTCAACTGTCACTCTTGCTGAGCTCCCCAAGCTATTTAGTGGATAGACTCTTAATGTCCATATACTTAAAGTGATACAGATCAATAACTGCCTTGGCTGTTTAGTCAGATGGATCTGGCTGCAACCCCAGGAGTGAGGAAGGTAGAAAGCAGAGTTCCTCTTTAATTGGGTGGTATGTTCCCAGGGCCAAGTTGATGCATCAGAGGAGGAAAAGACAGGAATTGAGGAAGCAGGTGGGAAGGCAGAGTTCATAAGGTGAAACAGGGTTCAAAGAGCAGTGCTGATACTGGGTGTTGTCGCTTTTCCTTGAGGCAGCACACTCCCATACTGAGAACTGTTTTTATACTTTGGTATAAACATATATACAGCATTTTTGTATTTCTTGGTCCAGACAGGGCGCCCTACAAACATTTCCTTTTGTTATCTCTAAGCAAAAGATTGTGAATGTGTGATCCTGCAGTGTAGCTCCCGCTGTTCTTCACCATTGGCTATATTAGCTAGGACTGACGAGATTGAAGTTCAGCAACATCAAGACACATTCCCCAGCCCTGCTCCAAACCCATATCCTCCCTCTATAATTCTTTACAGCTGGGAGAAGGCAAGAAAAGTATACAGGAATGATGCAAATTTACCAGACATACACTTCCTGATTGAGTGCAGCTTTACCAGAACCCGTAGCACATGCATGCTGCTGGCTACTCGAGGTCTCTTCTTACATATTTTCTGAATACTAGCTAGAAAGCACATGGAGATATCTGTATCATGAGGCCATCATAGACCGATTCTTCTAGTGGGGCAACTGGTTTTTTGGAAGTTTTGGAACATAGACACACTGCAAGATTGCAATTCAAGTTGCCTCAGCACAGTTTTCTTCCAGGATGAGTGTCTGCCTTAGGTCTTCAGCATGTCAAAGCCAGTCACCTCAATGAACAAGTCCATCTATGGTCAACATACTATGCATCTGAGAAAGTTGATTTTGACCTACAAAATACAGGCCACAGTCCAACTCAAAGTTAGGTGGAAATTGTCTTAAGCAACTAAACACAGCTTCTCAGCCTGTGTATGCTGCATGTATGTTTAGCAATCTGCACATGTGAAGGGTTCTCATTCTTTATTACGCATCATCCTTTCCCCAGGCGTTTTGATCTTCAGCTTCCAGCAGCCCAGCCAGCACGTCTAATAGTCAGAAATTCTGCACATTGTTATCCAAAGCATCTGGAGGGCATAAGTATGATGATGAATCTACACCATCCTTCTTCAAAATGATGCTCTCCAGATGTGTTGGACTGCAACCCTGATCATCTTCCAGGCAGCATGGTCAATGAATAGATGTGCCCAACATGTCTGGAGGGCTCCATGCTGTAGATCCATCCTCCCCAACCAGGTGGCCCCTCAAAGGTTTTGGATGACAACTCTCAGACTAGATTCACTAACATGGCTTTGTGTTTTTATTCTCTGCGAGAGGTATTCTTTTAATAACAGGATAGAACATTATTGACTGAATCATTAAAATCAACTCAGGCAAACATGGCTGTTGCATGATTCTTTTCCCCATCCCTTTTAGCAGCCCAGCCTGCTGGAGGAAACCCTGTCTGTAGAACCTGAGGAAGAGGTTGCACAGGAGGAGCCAGCTTTGTTTGAAGAAGAATTTTACAAGCCTGTGCTGAATGGACAAAGCAACATAATGCACTCAGAAGAAATTCAGAAGGTGAGTTCCCTTCCCAATGAAGGAGAGGCTTCTCCATTGTTCCTTGAGAAGGGTAACGAGCTGGGCATACCCTCATCGCCAGAGATTCAGCATTGTTGCTGCATCTTCTGGCTGCGATCCTTATCCTCCTGCATGACTTCCATGCATTTACCATAGCCAATGCCTGCCATTTAGAATTTTGACCCTCTTATAAGCATATTTTGGCAGGATAAATGTGGCCTTCACCAAAGGGTTCATATTCCCCTCTGAGCAAGTGTCAGCATCCAGGGCATGGGTGGCTGGGTATCAGGTCAAGGCAGCAGGACCCAAACAACCAGTACAATATACAGGCTCATTCCACATTGCAGTCAGACAGCCCAGAGATCAAGGTGGGTAACAGAAGTGCAATGTAGGCCAACCCAAATAGAGCAGAGCAGACAATGCCAGTCAGAAGTTGAAAGCCAGAGAGACAAGCCAAGGAAAAGCAGATACCTGGGACTGGAGTGGAAGCTGGAGCAGGTGAAGCCAGGCATGGTCCAGAAGCAGGAGCAAGGTGACCGGCAGAGCTTCCAGAAGGCACAGGGAGCTCCAACAACATCAAGACCTTTTCTTGCTGAGGCAGCGTCTGAAGGGAAGAGCCAATTCTTATATAGCTCTTGCCTCAGAGATCCCGGGTGGTGCTCATAACATTCCAGGTGGCTGCAATTGACTGTGGACCCAGTCCTGCAACCACCAGGGCTGCTATTATGGTCTCTGGCCAGAAGAGGGAGCCCTGGTGCTGTCCCAGAACCTCACAGCAGGTGATATTCAGAAGTTGCCATGGGTGTGAAGGGGAACCAATGTCCAAGGTTAGATATAGGACCTGAGCTACCAAGCAGAAAGATATACCGCTGGGCTACTGCAAGAGTGGACAAGCTGTTGCTCTCCAGATGCTTTGGAAAACCACTCCCATAATCCCTGGCCACTAGGTATGCTGGCTGGGTCTTATAGGAATTGTAGTCCAAAACATGTGCAGGGCACCAAATTGTCACAACTGTCAGCACTGGTGGCTAAAGTCCAAGCTCTAATTCCAACAAAATCCAAATCTCTATCCAACAATCCAAGGTCAGCATCAGAAGTAGACAGAAGGGCAAAGTAAGTCCAGTCCAATAGGCAAAAGTATAGTCAAGTATGCTGGAGGTCAAAACCCAAAGAAGCTATGCAAACAGAAGCAGGTACCTTAGGAGCAGGATCCAGGAACAGGCTCCAGGAAGCAGCAAGCAAGAAGCCCTGCACCAAATAAGGAGACCTTCACTGCCAAGGCAGTTTCTGCAGGGAAGAGCCAGTTCTAACATAGCTTTCCCCCCAGGGAAAGCCACCCCAGAATATTTTGCATTACTGCAGGGTAACAAGATATTGCTGCTGGGAAAATCCATTCCCCCCAACACACACACACACACCCTCTACCTGGTACTATAAGGATTGCAGCTAAGTTCACAGGAAACGGGAGCCTGAGGGGAGTGGCAGTAACATCATTGTCCCTGCTGAACTTAAGCCGCTCTACTTCGAACCCTGGCTCCACTGTAACAGTCTGCAGAGCAAGGGGAGAACTGACCTTCTATGTATGGTACCTCTTTAGCTTGCACCACACCTCCCTCTGCGAGTGACTGGTCACCCATGGAACCTTGTCTACTGCACAGCAAGGGATGGATTTAGCCTGAAGACTATGTATCGAACCATGCGTGACTTGGCCTCCCCTGTGTTGTTGGTTATCAGAGACACCGATGGCAAGGTAATCAGGGATAGCCTCAAAGGATAGCAAATCAAACCTGCTATCTGCTCAAAGGTGGTGCTCACAAGAAGGTAATTGATCTTCATAAGCAAACACACTGTACATGCTTTTTTGGGGGTACAGAAGACAGTAGGGGGGAAGGAACTGCCTTCTGTCAATTCAGCATTGGATAAAGCAGTAACTGGCATGTATATTATAACAATATCTTTAAATGAAACTGTTGAGCTCAGTCATCTGGAGTTTTGAGTGTGCTGCCCTCAGTTTGCAACTCTTGCTTCTTTTTATGTCCACCAGGATGTGCTAAATCAGTGCCTACCTGTGACAATGGGCTGAAGGCTAGCAAACTGAAGCTCATTCCAGGCAAAACTGAAATGCTTTTAGTGGGTGGTTCTCCAAATCAGATGGAGAATGCTCAAGTTATTCTGGGTGAGGATACACCCCTCCCCCCCCCAACTGAAGCAGGTTTGCAGCTTGGAGTGCACCTAGAACCATCTTTGTTGCTTGAGGGTCAGAGTGCCTCCTGAGAAATAGGCTAGGTTCAGACAACAGGACAAGCCATGTTGTTGTTGTTGTTTACCATTGTTGATTCTGCTATGTTGTCTGAACCCAGTTATAATATTTCATCATGACAAATTTGGGCTTTAGAAACCATGATAAGAAACAATGATCTGTTCTATGGTTTTTCTTTGCCACCATGGCTTATCATGTTGTCTGAACCTCAGGATCATGGTTTCCATTGTCCTGGTATGCAACTACCGAAGAGTCCCCTGGAAAGGGTGGTAAATGCAGGGGCTGCTCCAGGGGGAGTGATGCATCTTGGGTTTGGATTTACAGGATCTGATGGCATACAGGCAAACAGTGGGAGGAGCTGGGAAAATGGAAACCACGACAATGTAAAAACTACTTGATTGTCAGAAAGTTCATAGTAAAAAGATGTGAATCATGGTAACCATGCAGAGTTGTTTGTTGTGGTGTGTGGACACTGCCACAATTTTGTCTGGTGATTTGCCCATCTGCAATCCACTACTTTGTCATTGGCCCAGGCTGACGGACCTTGGGACTCTAGTGAAGAATAGAGGCCACAATAATCCTCATGTCTCCCCATGCCTATGCCAAACAGAACAGACATAGACCTATGCCTATTTTCCTGCCATTTGAAATACCTCTCTCTTATATTCTCTTCAGGTATTTGGGGCCTTTTCTTCTACAGCCATCCATGTCAGCAGTTACTTTTATGGCAATGGAGAAACATTTCTCTTTTCCTTCACTCCACAACTAAAGGTGATGCAACCATATAATTTTCCAACATATGGAGGTTACGTGTGTGTGTGTGTGTGTGCGCGCGCGCGCCCACAACTGCAAGGATTAAACCATTTATATATATTTTGCTCACAACATGTTGCCATGGAGGCAAAGTGGCCCATAACTAAAGATTCTAAGACTAAAGATCCTATTGGTGTTCCAAAACACCATTTGACAAGGTCTTCAGTAAATCCTTACAAATCACAGTTGCTTCCACACACGTATACTTCAGTACAGCTGAATCATTGTGCTTTCCTGCTGTTAATTGGAAGCAAAACAAAATGGAAGTCTTATAAAGTATTTTATATTGCTAGGAAATAAAGCCTTCAGTTCTAGGTCATCATTTTTGCTTTGGCTTTAAAATTATTTTAAAGGAAGCATATTAAAAGGAAACCAGCCCTTTACAACTCCCCACCTACATGGTTTGTCTCTATATTCTACAATCCAAACCCAAGGTACTGTTAATGGCATAAATGCAGTATAGTATGATTGTGACAATTCAGGGGGCTTTCATTCCAGGTTATTCCTTGTTTCAGATTTAATAGCTGATGTTTCTTGCTCTAAAAAGGCCACAAAAAGGCTGAAAACATGGGAGAGGCTAGAGGACGCCAACATTGTGAAAAGGGCCCACTGTCTTCAGTGAATGATGGCTCTTGAGTGCCCAAAAAGTGCCTCAAGCAGAGAAGTCCTACATCTGGATATCCTGTAAAAATCTTTAGTGAGATTGCACAAGGAAAGCCTTATTTGGAAGCATCCCAAAGGGAGCAAATGCTAAGCTGCCCATACAAACATAGAATTAGGCTGTAATCCTCAGTACGCTTATCTGGGTATAAATTCCACTGAACTCAATAGGACTAACTTCTGAATAACTGCAGACAATTGTTCTCTTAAATGGCATATGCACACTTGCACCTCTTTTTCTTTGGGTCCTCATCCTACTTCTCTGTCAGATTTCACACTTTACAGGTCTACAAGAGGTATGTAAAAGGCCAGGAACATGCTGGGTCAGACCAAAGGTCCAGCCAGCATTGTGTTCACACTGCAGCCAACCAGCTAACACAGGAACTACATGACTACAGCAGCTCCCACCCACCCACATTCCCCAGCAACTGCATGTGTGCATCTTGCCTCTGCTTCTGGGGTCTGAGTTTGGTACAGTGTTAAGTTACCAAATGAACTAGTATGTAAAAAGTTTCAAGCAAGCTTTGGAAAACATCAGAATAATTGTTTTCTTCAGCTGCATTTTTCAGTTCCAACAATGTAGATCAACAATATGCTTTTCTCCCTTCCCTTTCTAGGTATTTAAATGGACAGGTAAAAATACCTTCTTCATGAAAGGAGATGCAGACTCCCTAGCAATTGGTGGAGGCAGGTGCGTAGCTGTCAAAGATTAACCTGCAAAGGCAATGCTGCAATGCAATCCCAGCTGATAATTAATACTTGTGGAAGGCCTCATTGGAGCCAAGTTCTGATACCATGACCTAGCAAAGGAACATTTCATCATCCAAAGAAGCTAAGCCAAATTTTCCTAACAAGTCACAAAGAACAGGTCTACAACAGCATGTTTGTCTTCATATGTGTTCTCTTTGCATGTGCGAGTCATGCAGGTTTCTATCCTTTAGTAGAGTAGAACCATTGAAATGAATGTAACTTAAGGTAGACTACAATTAGATAGGGCATTATTAATTAAAAGTGACAGGTAGAAGTAACAGGCAGATCACTCTAAGAATGTGAGCCATGATAAAAACAGTTGAGGAGATATCCCCCTCCCACTCTTGATCTTGCTGAAAATTATTGCTTTTGCATAGGTTCCATTACAGCATATGTAAGATTCTTACTCCTTGTACTTCTTTTCCTATCAACATGCTTGGCATTTTAATTACATAAAGTCAGATGACGTGTGTGCATATTTTGAGTGGATATTGGAGTAGCGGTCTACCAGTTTTGGTGAACTTATCAATCATTTGCCCTGAGTTCGTATTCTCATCTTCCACAGTGGTACATTTCAACGACTATGAAGTGTTCTTGGAAGAAGACTGCTAACAGCTGCAGCAGTCTAGTTGCTAATACCACATAGTTCCATGGTGTTTAAGTATAAACAGAAGGAAGTCCCAGGAGTGCAACATGACTGTGCCTTCCTAACACTTGCAAAAATTGATCGGCCCCTTGTGCTTCCTTCCCTTCTGCTCTATCAACAACATGCTGTTTTATTTATTAATGTATAATTTTCCTTTACTTTCTTCTTACATTTCCTTTTCTCTTTCCCCCATCACTCTTCTCTCCCTC